TCACCATGTCTGGAGAAGACAGTCCTACCCCTGGTCTTCAGGTAGCCACTAAAGGGAAACCTCTCTACACACGACTCCCTGCAACTTAGTCATTTTCACGCTTCACTGCATATTATTGTGAATGTTCAAACACGAGTTTACACCATTCAAAACCTCAACAAGCTAAAGAAAAGGCGTTATCGTGTCAACTCCACAATGGCCCCCCCAAAAAAAAACCAAAGTGCTTTTTCTCTAAAGCAACAGTGTATCCAGGAGACCCCACGGATAAGGCAACTTCCCCTTTACAAAAACACTGTAGCTTATTATTTAGTCATTACATGAATAAGCAACCAGGAAAAGACTTCTCTTCGTGCACTGAAAGGATAAAGGACAGGATGGTTTTCGTGTCATTTGACACCAGTGTGTCTCCCAGTTGACTCAGTCAAACTATCAGCTACTATGACAGCAAAAGCAGCAAACATACCGTAGAGAAAGCTCCTGTGAAGCCGCTCTTCTCCCCTCCTGGTGATGTATTCTTATTCCAGTGGAGGAGTAAAGGTTTCCCCCTTCTCCTGCCAAACCTCTGCCCGCTGCTAGTTCTTCTCTTTCTTGTGTGTTTTTTTTTTCCTCCTCTGGATGGAAAACGTCGACCCCACTGAGAAGAGAAGAACGGGGCGGGTCTCAAAAGCGTTTGAGCAGATTCCGTCCAACCAATCGGCTGTCGATGTGGCAACAATCCACATCTGTGAGCCAATCGGATTCCGTTCCCAAACACGAAGCTGTGCGGTGATTGGTTGGCTGCGCAGAGACCTCCCAGTTGAAACTACTACAGCACCGGGAGAGGATCCTGGTGGAATCTGATCTCTCTCTCACTCGTGTCGGCTCAAAACAAAGCACACACCTTTTGTCCGGAAATCATCACAACTGTAATTCACTCAGAGCATCTTCAATGATCTTTATTCATTTGAATAGAAATTGTGTGTGGATAGGCTAATGGATATCCAATCGACCTATTGGATTTTGCAAAACGTAATAATGAGTCAATTTCTTCTATCTTGATTTATTGAATATTTATTACATCTTTAAAATGTCTCATCACAGCCTCCTAAAGAACAAGGTGACCTAGTTATATTTTGTCAGACCTTCAATTCATTTGCCCGGTAAAATCCCAGAAAAGCAGTCTTATCATCATCACATAGGATCATTTTACACTGTAAAAAAAACACCGCTCTTATAGGTTCATTTTTTATTAGCAGAGATCTCTAGAACGTCCACAGAAAATGTCTTGATACCAGGAAAACTGAGTAAAATACAATGCATGGCTTCATGTCCTTTTAGGGCTTCTGTATTTAACAAACAAGCAGTGACTATTTTAAAGAGGACATGTTGTGAAAAATCCACTTGTACAGTGTTTTTGAACACTGACCCACAAATGTGAAATAAACCCATCCAGTCCTTTGTTTGTGGTCTGCATAAGTCTTACAACACAGAGAGAAATGCTCCGTTTCTAATTTGCTCAACTTGTGATGTCACAGTGGGATTCTGGTAAAAAAAAAAAAAAAAAAACCCTCCCCTGGTATCTCCACCCATGGACTCCACCCCCAGCCTAGAACAATACGTGGTGCAGGTCTGCCATTTTTATTCTCCCTACAGAGGAGTGATGTCTACTGGGAAAACACAGGGGGGGGGTCATACATTTAAAGAGACACACACACCAAAACTGAGCGTTCTGAGAGAGCTGCTTTATACAGGGTCACAAACCTCCTCTGGTGCTTGATTCATGTTATATTTTGACCAAAGCACAGCACAGATGTTTCATTTAGACACAGGGGACTGTTTGAAAAGGGGTATGATATGTCCTCTTTAAGCATTTCAAGGTGATATATAGTTAGTCAAAATTAAAGATTTATGGATCAGACCTATTATTTTTCTGTAACATTAATACGACTAGTAAATCTTCATATTTACGTTACAAAATGTTGCATCATGAAGCTCACTAGGTAGTTATAAGTGCAGTAAAATCAGCAAATACACGTTAGACATCTATGCTTGTCAACAGAAAAGTTCTCTCTCTAGGCCTTTACATGTCACATAATGTGCCGACACTATCAAAATCTTTTCTTTTCTTTTACTTGATTAGCATTAGACAAGAGTTGTTTGATAAACCATGCTTAAAAAGCACACATCAGCCAAGTCTCGTGTGATTTTATCAACTTTAACATGAGTTTGACAAATGTAAAAATACAACACCTCCCCCTGGTGGCAACAAAAGCACAATGGTCTGCCCCTAAAAAGTAGTTCTTACTCCTGTTTGTTCTATGATGTTTTCCTTCATAATTTGGTCAGTGCATGGCTTATGGTTGCATGACAAAAAGTACAATAAGCCCTCATCTTATCTTTTCCAACTTTTGAACCCCTGGACAGCACATGGGGCCATGGCCGGGTTTTGATATAGCTAAAGTTTTCTTTCAGAACTCCCAAACACAAACACACAGTGAGTGTTATCCACTAGAGAGAGGGTTTCTTTGACACGTGTTTACTGCTAGAGTCTGGATTTCCAGGATTATTGCTGCAATTTTCTTACCACTTTTTTGAACAGTAGCTGCTTCCTCCCTCTTGATAAATAACATCAGGATCCAGTAATTAAAAACCAAGTCACAAGTCCACTTCACTGTTAAAATGGCAAGGTCACCCTTGTGAAAGAGATATTGATATCAATGGGTTAATTACCTGGTTAAATAAAGTTTAAATAAAACAAAAAAAAATGCTTTCTATAGTTTTTCTACTGTTAGCTTATATGAAAAAACCTTGAAGCCCCATTGATGCATTATGGTTTTGATATTGTGTTGAAAGCAAAGTCTTGATGTTAAGGAACACTGTGTCATTGATGCAGCAGAGAAATAATCAGGTTTCTTATCAACCAGGACGAGCATATTGCAAGAAAAGTTTTGGATCTTTATTTCTGTGTCGGATTGAAATCTAAGGAGCATCTGAACTCCCAAAAAGGAAAAAACAAATCTTGTGCGCACAAGTGAAAAACTTTGTAATTTAAACAACGAAATTATTAAATCTGTTGAAGTGGTTTGAACAACGGAAGAAGTTTTGGTTTCTGAGTTTCTGAGTTTGTGTCAGGTGTCTCATGTTTTCCTCTCTTTCTCTCCTCCTCCTCCTCCCTCCCTCCCTCTCTCTCTCTTACGTCACAGAAAAGGCGCAGCTTTTGGTTTCGACTTCAGCGCCGTCAAACTGCTCGGATTTTGACCAGAAGGAGCATTGTGCTACCTTCAAAATAAACGCGTAAAAATGTTACGTTATAGCACTATGTACTGTGTGTGGGCAGAAGGGGCTTTCTGGTTATCTGTGCATTTTGTTGAATACTTTGTGCAATTCATCACAAAAATATTTTTCCCACGAGTTTAATTCTGCAAATTAGATTAAATTCATTAAAAAATGTTTTAAATCTAATTCAATAGAAAAGAGTAACATTGTAATCTTTTAAAATATGAGAAAATTATACATTTGACAATGCAGACATTTCGTCGGTGGCCAGTTTGATGAGAAAACACAAGTTTGATCATTTTTTGTTTCAGAAGACTACAAAACAAAGGCAGTGTGGCAGTTATAGAATATTTTTATACATATTTTGGCAACTGTGCAATCAGTCTAACTGTGAAATCTGTTAACAAACCAGTCACCATTATGTTCATATTGAGTGTTATACATACACCATGCAATATCTAGCCTACACTGTTTAACATAGCACATATTATTTATAGTTGTAAATATTGTTTATATCTTTCAATTCCCTGCGCTATGAACATAGATTATTAGCTACATCAGTATCTTCTTTTAAATCACTTTTAAAAACACATTTTTATCGTAAGTCCTTCTTATAATCCTTGTTTCATCCGGGATGTTTTATTTGTTTTACTGTTAACTTTAGCCAATCTTTGTCTCGGTTGTTTCTCTTTTTTCTGTTAATTGGATGATTGCTGCACTGTTGTTTTATTTTTCATGCTTTTAATAGGATTTTATTGTTGTGTATTTGTTGGGATTTTTTTTCTTTTTTCTGTAAAACACTTTGTGACATTGGTTTTGATAAGTGCTTTATAAATACATTTTATTATTATTATATATTATTCTTACGCTCACTTGTTATTGCCTAGTCAAAGTGAAAGTCATCTTTATTGTCAATTTAAAAATATAATATATATAAATATAATACAATTCCAAATATAATGATAAAAACAGATATACAAAAGTACAAGATGATGTGCAAAGATGTGCATTAAAAATACAGCACATGCCTGGGTTCTTATGATGGTTCTTGTGATGGTCGGGTTATATATGTCTGTTGGGTATTGTGCACTTTGGGTTCTTTTCTGTTGAATTGTATTTCATTATTTTTAGTATTTTACATTTGTTATGTTCTTGCTGTTGTTTATGTTCTTCTGTGTTTGGGTTAGTTTGTTCTTGTTTGTCAAAGCACTTTGTAAACCTGTGTTTTTAAAAGGTGCTCTATAAATAAAGTTTTTATCATTATTATTATTATTATTATTATTATTATTATTATTATAAGCCAATTTACCATTTACAGTTATCACAAAACTACCATGACCTGCCTGAGCATTCAAAATGCGTAGTTTAAATATCAAAGAGGATAAACAGAAAAAATCACAGGGCCCAGGTGCCCAAAGTGCTATATAAACACAGTTATTATTATTATTATTATTATTATTATTATTATTATTATTATTATTAATATTAACAAATATCCATGGACATGAAATTATCATATAAATAAATATAATGCACTAAGTTAGTGAAATAATTGTATATGTGTTTTTAAAAGTTGTTTTTGCTTATTTTATTTTATTCTTAATGCTTCATTCTGTTTCATAGCAACTATAACTACCGAATTTCTCCCTGGAATTAATGAAGTATTTCTGATTTTGAATGACATCAAACAGTGGTTTTATTTTGAAAACCAACAACCGGACGTTGTATTATTGACAGCTTGATCTTCGTGTCCACATTGAAAACAGTCTCACACACACACACAGACACAGGTGAACGCTCCAGACACTACAGCAACACATTCTCTCTACAGGTAAAGTATGGCGATGGGGTTTCCAGCATCTCAACACTATACTGTTGTTTATCCCGTCAGTGTCAGGTTGAGTCTGGAGCTTTATCTTCAACAATCACACGTTTGGTTTGAAGTTAACTTCTAGTGTCAGACAGGAGGGCTAGCTGTTAGCATGGGATTAGCCTAGCAAACCAATGTTAGCCTACGCTGGATATTTGCTTTAAAGTTCAACAGATAACAACCGTAAATAACCCGACGACACTCTCAACCACCAAGACAACGCGTGACACTCCTGAATAAAAACACAGCAGTATAAAATGTTATCAACCAAGTGAAGGATAAACAACCAGCTTGAAGGTTTAGCTAAGTAGCTTACATGACCATGAAGCGCACGATGGGACGTCACACCAGGCTCCCTTTACTAATATCAAGATTAAGGTTTATTCTGTTAATCTGCAGAACCACATTGCGGATACTTCACTTCATTATATATTTTTAAATGTGGGATGAGCCGTCCTTCAATTCGGCTGAGGTATTATCTGTCATTTGGTATTCATTTCTGACATTTTCTAACTTTTCTGAACTTTAATGGTAGCTACCCACGACAAACGTCACAGAGATCAACAGATAACCTCGTAAAGTAAAGCTTTACACTGCATGCGTCATGCTCTAGTGATGTGTGGATACTGAAGGGGACAATTATTAATGCATGAAGTTAGTGAAAACACAACATGCATGTGAAATTAGCAACAGGGCTCAAGTTGTTCTCCATCAGTTTCATGTTGAGTAGTAGTGATGCAGGAAACAGTGGCAGAGTTAGTTAGGATGCTCTGACATCTCATCATTACTAACAGCATGTCAGAGGCTGTAAGGCTGGCTTAAGTTCCTATTTGTTAGTTTGTAAAGAAAAGTACGCTGTTGGTATTTGAGGCATGTCAAATAGAACATAATGTCTTTTATTGTCTTTATGCAATTGTACAACTAAATCATTTGGCTTCACCTTAAAGTGCACACACATACAAGCATCCACAGCTAAAAACAACAAAGAAGAAATAACAAAAAAGGAACTCTCATTCAGGTAAAATGGGCAAAGTATGGTAGGAGTTATTTACAGGTAGTAGCCTAACAGAATATAAATAGATATTACAGTCTGAAATGTAAATGTTGCACATGCCAGAAGTGTGTGTGTGTGTGTGGTGAGGGTGTGTTTGTGTGTGAGCGCGTGCGTGCGTGTGGTGAGGGTGTGTGTGTGTGTGTGTGGTGAGGGTGTGTTTGTGTGTGAGCGCGTGCGTGCGGTGAGGGTGGGACGGTCAAAACTGTAATATCCAAAACCCTAACATCGATGAGGAAGAGCGATAATGTGTAGAGGTTGTTACAGACTGATGCACAGTGTTTTTTGTGTCTGGAAAACCTCACTGATGTTTTTTGTCAAACTACTTGTGTTTCTTATGTCATAGCCTTAATGACACCTGACCCAGCACACCTACAGGATCAGAGGCACCTTGCCTCTTTCTTGCGTCACAGACTACAATTATCTTGGTGTCTGGAGGAAGGCTTTCAATTGAAATACTAGATTTAAGGGTTTGGTCATGCAATATTCTAATTTGTATCTTTCCTACTTCGATTGTTATCAGGAGTAATGGAGACAGCAGGAGTTTGTGAGATTGACGTGGCCACCAGAAGAATAGTGGGAGGCATCGATTCTCCACCAGACCTGGATAGTCCAAGTCAGGTAAAAAAAAAAAAAGAAGTGCTTTCCTCTGTGTGTGATGATTTGTAGATGCATAAACAACACTCTAAGCCCAATACTTAAACATCTAAAAAAATGTGTCTTAATACATGCAGATTTAAGAACAGATACATTTTAGGTTGAAATAAGGAACTGGCTGACTATATATAAAATACAAATCAGGCCAGACATGTCAGTACTTGCAAAGGAGTAAAGGATTGCAGTGAGTAACCTTTTCCTCCAGCTTGAAGGAGTCATAGAAGAAGGCACTTGATTCCTGGCTGCTTTAATGGAGGGCCTTTTTGAATCTGTCATGTGCATTGTGTTATCAGGAGGAGGTTGCAGAGTTTGGTTTGGGGTTGTGCTGTGCTAAAGAGGAGAGGGGGGAGACTCCTGGCAGAGAAGACAGCCCCAGCGACCTTGGGGAGGCAGAGCTTGACCCTGGAGGAGACCCCAAGACTGGAGAGGACCCGGCCTTTGGTAGGAAACATACATTGTATTCTACAGGGCCCATAGATGAATGCTCCTCAGTCCATAAATGTCATGGAAATTTATCATGATTTTGGCCTGAAGTTCCCTTTTTGTAATGTGTGAGGTTCTGCCCCTAAATTCTTCACATAGGCGTGATTTTTTTTTCTGAATGTTAAACATACTGTGATACGGTTCATCTTGTCAACAGACTGAAGTTAATACGTATGCCTCTAAGTGACCTACAAAAGCAAACGAGACCATCAGAAGAATATTCAGTCGTTTTGACGTTTGAAGAAAATACTCCACTCTTTTTATAGAACGTATACAGGCGTGACATTTTGTGTACATTATCGATCAGGTCAAACAATGGGACATTTTCAAAAGCTATTATGACTGATTAGAAAGCAGTGAATGGCCTCCGTAACTTATTGTAACCGTGACATCTTTCTCAGTGTAGTGAGATAAGTCACGTTTTGTCACATTGCCAACATGTTTAGATGATCTATCCAAAAAAGGTGTGGACCAGTTTGAGTTAAATCTACTGGCAGGAGTTTACTTAATGTCTTTCCAGTGCTGTAGAGTGAAGAGATTCAGTGTTTTTCATTCTGTTATGTTTCACTCCTCGGTTTGCAGGGAAGGAGGTCGTTCTTTTGATGCAGGCCCTGAACTCGCTGGCCACTCCTGAGGAGAAACTGGCCGCTTTGTGCAAGAAATATGCAGACCTGGTGAGCTGAGCTTGTTACCTTAATCTGACCTGCAAAATTCTGAACCCATCTCAGATATTTACAGCGATTTTAAATTGATCTGTTGTTTTGCAAATGGATTGTTGACTCTGGTAGGTGGAAACATAGCCAATTGAAGGTGTGTAGGTGGTAGTCAGAAAGGGGGCATCTCTATCCTTTATGAAGCCTGAAAAATGTCAACAGTCAAAAACACAGATAGCTGGACAGGTCGCTTGAATAACGTGGAAAATTAATCCAATCAATAGAAATCTATCTTTTATTCGTGTTGGTCCAGCTCAAAGCGCAAATGGTAGGCAGAGCTGGTTTCTGTTTATAGACACTGTAAATGAACTAACAACTAATCCATCCATGACATTTCTCTTTACTAAACTCAAGACAGACTGGGCATAAGAAACAGCAGAATATAGGAGGACCCCAGACCCCCATACCTGATTTAGATTTTAACCACTTACTATTTTAACTGTGTTTATACACATTTCAGCTATTGTCTTATCTTGAATTTAATTTTGAAGAGGGAAAATATTAAATTTTTCAATAAAACAGGTTTAATGTGGGAATTAAACTTTTTTTCAACTACACAATCATTATCAGACCCAAAATACACATGTGTTTGCACATGGTAAGGAGGGTACCACGTCCACCTCGTTTGAGCCATGAGGACCCCTGTAACGGTATCATTTCATTTATTTATGATGTGTCTTTAGGCATGGAAGTCTTCCTTTGCTTTCTCAGGATGGCATGCTGTTTATAGGTTCCATTATTAGGAGTAAATCATTCGTTTTATTAATAGGGCAATTTTCCAATTTCATTAAGTGTTCTTTTAATAAGCCAGTAAAGGTACCGAGTTAAACCAAATGAAAATCATTCTTTCTGTCTGCAGCTGGAGGAGAGCCGCTGCATGCAGAAGCGTCTGAAAGCCCTGCAGAAGAAGCAGTCTCAGATCGTAAAGGAGAAGGTCCACCTGCAGGGGGAGCACAGCAAGGCCATTCTAGCCCGTAGCAAGCTGGAGAGCCTCTGTAGGGAGCTACAGAGACACAACAAGACCCTGAAGGTATACCTCAGCCCGCTGCAGCTGAGTTCATCAACATCATTTTATCCTCTGAGTCAGCTTGACCTTAACCCCAGCCTTTGCTCTGTCCTCTGCAATAATCAGTCTTTCTTAAGGGAGCATCATAAAGTACTATGAACGTGATAAATGATTCTTCTTTACATTTTTATGCACAGTATATATGAGTATGATTGTATCTGTTGCTATTGTGTAGGTACAGATTTCCCCCTCTCCAGTCTGCTCTTGTTGAATCCTTGCCGATCTCTTCTTGTCCCCCTTGACAGGACGAAAACGCCCAGCGGTCCAGGGAGTACGAGGAGCAGCGGAAGGAGGCCATGCTGCACTTCCAGATGACCTTGAGTGATATCGAGGTGCAGATGGAACAGCACAGCTCCCACAACACCAAGCTGAGGCAGGAGAACATGGAGCTGGCCGAGAAGCTCAAAAAGCTCATCGAGCAGTACGAGCTGAGAGAGGAGGTAGGACCACCTACCAGCACCTCAGTTTGCTGTATGAGTCAACTCTAGCCTTCTGCTAGTGCTTTGCCACTGCTCCTGAACAGAAAGATGGAAGAACAACCAAAAAGAAGTGTTAGGGTGGTAAATAGTGTTGGTATAAAACCTGGGAACTGTGTCCCTGCTGCTTAAAAATTAGACAATACTGAACAGTGCCCAGTTTCATCCAAAAGAATCATGTTAGCATTAACTGGTGTGCTGTGACGTGACTTTTTCAAACCACTCACCCAGCTCTCCTTCTTGCAGCATATAGATAAAGTGTTCAAGCACAAGGAGCTGCAGCAGCAACTGATGGATGCCAAGCTGCAGAGAATCACGGAGATGATGAGGGAAGTGGAGGAGAAGCAGCAGAGAGAGAGGGACTTTGTGAGTACATCTGTGCCTCTTCTTTTCCGTCTAGTTTTTCTTTTTTCTTTGTGTTTATAGTTCAGTGTCTGTAGTTAGGCCGTAGAGCTGACAGAATAACAGACTGTACTGTGATGCAGCTGCTGAAGGACGCTACGGAGTCAAGACACAAGTGTGAGCTGATGAAGGAGCAAGAAACACAGCTCAAACAACAGGTACACACACACACACACACACACACACACACACACGTGGATCAGAAACACATTTATGGACAACACAGAGTTAAAAAACGTTTTTTAACTTTGCATATTTTGTAGAAACATTGTGCTTACCTTTTGTGTCGACCAAGCTGAGAGGTTTGAAAATAACGCCTCACTGCTCTCGTCTCTCTCAGCTCTCAATGTACATGGACAAGTTTGAGGAGTTTCAGAGCACCCTGGCAAAAAGCAACGAGGTCTTCACCACTTTTAGACAAGAGATGGAGAAGGTGAGGGCAAAGCATGGCTCATATTTACCAGATGTTTACTCACTTTTGTTTTGTCAGCTGGCTTTATAATCTTTTTTTTTACTTTAACCACCAGATGACCAAGAAGATTAAGAAGCTGGAGAAGGAAACGACACAGTGGAGGACAAAATGGGAGAGCAACAACCAGGCTCTGCTGCAGATGGCCGAGGAGGTGACCTTTTTTGATTCCTCTTTTTTTTTTTAAAGTGTAGAGCAGAGGTCAGGGCGTTTAAGGCCGAGCTGTTCATAAAGACGGGAAACAGTAGCAAAAATCTGTCCTGGCTTTGTTCAGATGAACCCATGTTGAACAAGCAAACCACTTCCTATTGCTAAATTAAAATCATATGCTAAATACATGTTAAAGGGAACCTTTTGACTCTCTATGAAACCATGTTTCTGTTCAGCTCCATTACTTTGACTTCTCATTTTAATACACTGACATCATTCACTGCTGAGGGTGACTACAAGGTTACTTTTTAAACAGCTTTACTTTACCATCTTCAGGGTGTTAGTGCTGTTGTACACGCTTCCTTTTTTCCTCAGGATCAATAAAGTACCTAACAATCAAAAAACAACATTTAGAAAACAACATTGACTCTCACTGCTTGAACTTTGAATGACCTGGGAAAAGGAAACTGTGCAGAACCGCTGGCTGAAAGTTGAAATAGCACCCATCCCTTTTGATGTCTAAACACTTATGTTGATTCATCTGTTTAGAGTTTACAAAAAGGAGGATTGTGTAATATTTCTTTCTAATAAGTTTGTCTGCTGCACATCACTGCTCAGTGTTTCCCACAGAATGACGCAGCGTCTGGTCTGTGGAGTTCTCTTAGGGAATATTTAATATTATTATATTGTATTTACATCAAATGTGTTGTTCCCTCTAAATGAATTTAGTTTTTGCAACAAACGATTTTAATCTGCTCAATTTATCCACCCACTCCACGACACAAACACCAGGAGTGTGCCTCGTGTTTAAAGTTCCACTCGATGTTCCGTTATTTAAAGGAGTTCAGCACAGCATCAGCAGCTGCACATTAACAATATAAAAAAGAAGCCACGAGAAACTTCAGTTTTGATATGAGCAAGGCACCTAAATAGGTGCATTTACAAGAGGGATGAACGGACCGTTGACCTTCTCTCCCTCTCCCTCTCTCTCCCTCCCTAGACAAGAGGGATTTTTTTTAAACGGGAGTGTGTGCTGTAGAGGTCTCAAGCACAGTTTGAATATCCATGTGTTAGTGAGGTCCTGGTGCGCACCTGCTTTCTCTCGCTCTCTCTCTCTCTCTCTCTCCCCTGCACTCTTGTGTGCGCAGCAATTTTGTGAAAAATAAAACCAGGTTAGAAAATATACTTTGTGCTGTTACACTAGAGTCTAGACCACATTTTTTTCCACAAGTCTTTATTTTTTTTATCTGTTGATGTTACCTTTGTGTTCATAAGAACTGAGTTTGTCATAAATCAATGCTTAATTTAGTCAAAACAAAGCTTCACTGAAGCGCTGCTTACCACACTTTTCTCCTGGTCAGTTTCAGCACTGATGGATATGACTCGCTCTGACAAAGATGCTCATGAAACTTTGTGTTGTGTTGTAGAAAACCCTGCGTGACGGCCACTTCAAGGCGCTGCAGGGGAAGCTGGAGCTGCTGGAGCGGCTGTGCAGAGCACTGCAGAAGGAGAGGAACGACCTCAACAACCGGCTCAGCCTCCTCCAGGAGCAAGGAGACAAAGGGACCACAGCGGCTCCTGAAGCCCAGCCAGGAGAGCCTTCAGCAGGGGAGGAAGAGGAGGACGTGGAGGAGGAGGAGGAGGATGAAGAAGAGGAGGAGATCGTGGCACAGGAGGAAGGGCTGGAGACAGAGAGCATCCACCAATCTCCCAGACCACCCGAAGAGGATCCGACATCGGCTGCTTCTGATGAAACCACTACTGCTACGACCACAACAACGACCAGCCCACCAGCAGAAACACCACCCACACAGCAGGACTGAAAGAGTCTGTGTGTGAGGGCCCCACACACCTCCAGCCTAGTTATAAAAATAAACAGAAAAATGATCTGTGATGGAGGTAGAGATTTCTTTTCTTTTTTTAATTTGAGACCTGTCTCTCCAGGTCTTCACACTTAACCTGAACCCTTATCTTTTCGTGTGATAGCTAAAGAAGAATGTATCAAGAATTCTGTTCTGTAACTTTTCCCAAATTGGTTACAGTGGTAATGATTGGCTTCACGGCGAGCACTTTCACTTCGTTTTCTACCATAACTGTATATTCCATGCAGTCAAATTAGCCTTTCATTTTCTCTCTTCACACGGTCTGTCCCCGTAGTGTCACGTCTCATTGGAACTTCTAGTCAGGTTAAAATCACAAACATATCATCACAGATCACTTTTGATTCGTGTAGCCCTACAGTCAGAATGTGATTGAATAAGCTGGAGTGTGAAAAAGTCTGGACACAGATTGCTTTTATTTGTACTTCATCATGTTTCTCATGTCTTGATAAAAGCAGAAGGAGTCGCAGTAAAACTTGATCCACACGCCCCATGAAGAAGTCGGTCTGAAACTCGTAACTGCCAAGTTTGTTGTGGGACAGTTGGGGAGGTACTGAGGGCTAATCATACCAAGTAGCTGGGAGCACGCTAACATTAGCGAACCTCTACGGCGCACCAAGCTGGCTGGCTCTAATTTTAGCATGTTTGAAAGCTAGCTAGAAGAACTGTGACTTCATCTGATGCCGTTACTAATATTGTGTTTGAATTCCAAGTTTTTCAGCGCAGTGCCCCGGCAGGTTGTGATGTTTAAACCCGAACTCAATCATGAGTTTAGCAACTAAGAAGTGGTTAACATTAGCAGTCCTCCTTTTATGAATCAATGTGATCCATGAGTCATTTCTAAATGAAACTCTGGGATTTGTTGTATTAAAAAAAAAAAACTCACTTTACGTTACCATGGAGAATGACCTAATAATGTAAAGAGATGAAAGCTCTTTGAATGTGCTCCACTTTGTTTAAATCTTCATCTCACCATCAGCTTTGTCTTTTTCTGAAGCGAGTCGTTTAGTTTCTGTACGAAATGGTTTTCCACAGAAAGGTCGAGGCAGGAAGAACCTTCATCCACTGGCAACCTTTTGCCTTTTTTGACTTTTTTGAGTCATGTTTGAAAATTGATGACATGAGAATACCAGGCCCGAGCATCTAGAAACATATCCGTGATCTCCATCTTACAGGAGCTGCAGTTATTGTTCATGAGGAAGTCCCTCAGCGTGTGTACAGAACTGATAAAGTCAATACAGGAAATAACCCAGGTTTGGATCTTGTTTCACATTGTGATGCTCTTCTACTAGCTAAAGTTAAAGTCGAGCACTTCTCTTCTGCATATCCACTTTTCATTTTGGGGCACCTTTTTTTTCCCAGATCTTTAACTTGCTTCAACCATTCCCCGAGCAACAGCTCCAACTGCAGCTTCTGTTCTGCAAGAGTTCATATATCGTGATTACAGCACTTAATTTAGAAATCCTAAAATGAGTTGCTGCTGAAGCATCCTTATTGAGAATCTTACGTTTTTATTTTTGGATATAAAACATGAGACTGATGTAAGACCAGCATTTTGCTTTCCTTTTCACTCCTGAGTTCGTACATCAACCCATAAAGTGAACATTCTCGTAGAACTATTTAACCTTCCCGCTCACCAGCTTCTTGCTGTTCTTTCTAAATGCAGTTTATTGTTAAGTCTGTGAGAATCATAGAAGTAATGTTGACAAATGTTTTTTTTTTTCTATGTAAACTCTGGCTGCCTGGCTGAGAGCCCATCCACCACTTGGTTGTTCTCTGTTGCTGCTTTAGCGGTCTGATTGATTTGATCTATTCTTAAAACTTCTCATGCAGTATGTCCACATCTTTAGGAGTTTAAAAACAAAACTGATGTGAACATGTACAGGTTCAAGTGGGGCATGATTTTCTTTGAGGAGAGGACAGGTCACGAGCCCAGGGAAGACTTCTTAGCATCTATTCCTCTTTCTTTGGCGTTGCCCCAGATTGACTCTCAGGTAATGTCAGAATCTACCTCTGCAGGAGAGACTAACTGTGAAAGAAGAGGCACGAGTCACCATAGCTTTGGAGAGCTTTATTTTTACTAAAAAAAAAAACAAAGATGAGCCCACAACCCCTCTTTGATTGTACGATGTTCTTAAAGTCCTGTCTTGCTTTTCAATAAACATTTTGTAGAATTTGCAAACACTGGTTGATTTATTGGGTTTCCTCTTAATAAAGCAGGCGGGAGGTGTCGTTTGTATTCTGCATCTTTTAATACAACAGATTTTTCAGCGAGTGGCAGTAGAAAATTACATGTTGAATAAGTGAGAAACATTTCAAAATTTAAAAAAGTTTTATTGCAGTTTGAGTCAAAGGAAACAACACGTCAACTTCACTTTTCTAACAACGCAAACAGGTGAAGGGAAAACTATTTTTCTTCCCTCAGTTTAACTCATTTAGTCCCCAACTTTCACTGAAGAGTTTTTTTTTTTTGTACCTTATGAACAGGAGGCGAACACAGCAGGGAATGTTTCTTCAGCAAGTACAACACTAGGTCAAAAAAACAGCAGCAACAAGTGCTTAACAGGTGGGAAGATGTGGCATGAAAGGCTTCCTTGCACATGACTATCATCCTTCATACTTATCAGTTTGGACAGGTGTAGATCTGGTTTACAAAAAGTCACTACTTCGATCGTCTCTGTTTTCTTACCATGTGTTTTTAAGAGAAGTTGTCTATCAGGTGGTTTTTCTGGACACTCTTGAGTCGAGCTTTAAAAATGTTTTTATGTTGCATTATCCCTTTAGAACTTACTGTTCAGGGCAATATCTAGCAGTGACTTTGTACACATCAAACTTTTCTTTAAAAAGGCCCTTTTGCCACAAAATGTAATTTTCCAAACGCAGGATATACCGGTAAGACAACCTGAGCAGCTAGAACCTTTTTTTTTTATACCAAATGCCGAAGTGCTTTTAGGTACCTGGGCTGAGTTAAAGTATAAGAAGGAAGAGACGAATCCAACTGTTTAAGCAAGAGTAGCGTCCATGCTGTCTCTTAACTTTCCACAAAGTTCATTCATGCACGGAACAAGCCAGAGGAAAACGACAGGCTAGGCTGGGTCTGGAGCTCTGAGACCGGAGGAAGAGTTGTGCACGGCTGGGTTATGATCCCTGAGCTTCCAGCTCTGATGCAGGGGTGTTGTCTGGCTCTTCATCGTTGTAGATATTCTCAGCCTGCGAGGAAAAACAGGGGTGAGAGGTCATTTACAGCGTTTCATCACAGTTCAATTCACATTTAGGATGTCCCTCACTAGAGAAACTTAAGTCTAGGTACACTTTGATGAAGCCTGATGTGGTTCATTGTAGTGACTGAGGCTATGTGTGACCGGTGATGGACAGCAGCTGTATTCACCATCTGCCAGACTTGCATGATGTTGTCCTCGGACACTGAGCAGATGACCCAGGGTTCACTGGGGTTCCAGGAGAAGTCAGAGATCTTGGCCGTATGACCCCCGTGGATGAACTGAAAAGGTAAAAAAAAATTGGTCACCAAAGTGCTGTGATAGTATACAGCAAGTTAAACCATGATCCAAACCCTAAATGACCCATCTTATTATGAGTGACAGATCTGATGGTGACTTGAAGAAATCACAGCCTAATGATGATTTTAGGATCAGACTCACCAGCAGCTCTGGTGGGCCGTCCTCAGCATCCTCTGCCGACTGCTCCTCACCGATTTTACTAGTAAAAGAAAATAGAAATGAAAACTGTGATTTTAGATTGGACAGATCAAACCAATGTTTACCACCTTATGTGAACTTTTTTTTAGCTCATATTCTTAAAAGCTGTTTTATTCTAAATCTCAATTGGCATCCATTAAAGTGGTTCTTATAATAATATAAAGGGTTCAGGGATTCTCAGATTGACTAAAAACAAATCAAATGAAGATAAAAGTTCATTAAGGACATGTTTTTTCTTATTAGAAATATATACAAAATGTAGGTTAAGATGCTTTAGAAACTGTTATTATTAAAAATATTTTTTCCACGTTTAATGGATGGTCTTGTACACACCCAACTCCTAAAAAGTTGTGACTTCGCATAAAATGTAGAAAAAAGATTGTGATAATTTGCGTAACAGTGAAACTCAAAATTTGATTGAAATCAGCACAGAGACATGTTGATACAGATATTTCATTGTTTTATCGTTATCACATCCTTTTTTTTTTAAATTTGATGGCAGCAACATCAACAGAGCTGGGACAGACAGGATCACGTTTGTCACTCTGTAACATCAACTTTTCTTTTAATCACTTTATAAACATTAAGAGAACTGATGAGACATTTTTTTTTATCATTTTGAAAGTGGACTTATTTTCTTATTTTTAGGAAATAGCATAACAGTTATATTTGTATGATTATGTATCATGGCACTGTGTTAGCATGTAAAAATGTTTTCTTCAAACATGACAGCACTGAGCTGATCCTCTCTGAGTCCTTTTATCATTAGCTTCTATTTTTAATATTTGTAATACTTCAACATTTGTTCATTAAAAAATCCTAAGAAAAACTTTTTTTTAACAATCCATCACTACGTATGGAGCTTTGGTGGATCATTTTACCTGAGATCCCAGACGTTGAGACGTCGGTCGGTGCCGCTGGAGGCCAGGATGGTCTCGTTGTGAGGAGACCATTGTACCTGATGAATCAGACAGTCGGTTACAGAAGGGCAATGTGGTGGCTGAAAATCGGTTCTTGAAAGCAGTAGGTAGTAATCGGAGCCCTGGAAGCACTCCTATCTTTATTTTAGTCTTTTTTTTTATTTGAGGCTATTTGAGTTCTTACCTGGAAAATTTCATCTTTGTGGGACTCAAAGGAGTGGAGCTTCAGTTTAAGGTTTCGTAGATCCCACAATGCAACAGTCTGAGAGAAACAAAACAAACCTTTAGAATTACACATTGGATGAATTGAGTTATTTTAAAGGTTTAAGGAGTCCTCTTCTCTACCTTATCAGCAGAACCGGTGGCCAGAATGAACTCGCTGTAGGGGTTGAAGCTCAGGCAGTTGACCTCAGCAGTGTGAGCTTCGACTGCGTGGCTGGCTTTGGACGGGTTGTTGGAGCGAGTGTCCCATCTGGAGGAGGATAAAAGGTTCAGACGTAGCTGGGACATAAAATCGATATGATAGAATATGCAAAAGGTGTTCATATGCTAACTGGAAGAATGGCTGTGCACATTGAGAACATCGTGCAGAGAGAAACAATCTGTGAAACACTAACATCATGAGTTTCTGGTCGTCAGCCACCGAGCCAAAGAGGGATTCATGGAGCAAATGCCAGGACACATCTTCAACCACTGCTGTGTGGCCTGTGAAGATGGACTTGGCGTCCACTACCTTCCCTTCCTTTGGGCCGGACCCGATGTCCCACAGGCAGATGGTCTGGAGAGGAAGAGCAATATGTCATCTGTTACAAGCTGGGAAATCACCGCATCACTGGACACATCAACCTGCTGAACCTTCAGCTGAAGACGGGATTATAGTTTAAACCTTTTTCTAATATTTCCTCACATCCATTTAAAAGCAGCTGAAGTATCCCTCCTCTAAACACAGGAGCTCAATTTTACCTTACACTACTCAAAGCTCTTTTACACACTGATGGTAGAGGCTGCTGTGTAAAGTGACCATCAGAAGTAGCTAATCTCATTCACACACACTCATGCCCGGCTGACAAAGCAGCGGGAGTAATTCGGGGGTTAATTGTCTTGCCCATAGCGAACATCCTTTAAAGTCTTGATGACATGCAGGTAGTGAAACTGTCAGCTTTTTCTTCCAGACAGTGATCTGAAAGATTTTAGATAACAGAATCAATATTATAAAATGAAAACACTTCACAAGGGGCAACTCAATCGGTGCGTTCCATTCATAGAGTATATTTTGCTGTTAAAATCTAAACAACATCCTGGTACCTTATTAAAAAACCTGTCTGCGGGTTATTGTGGTTTTTGACATTTTTACTCAAATGATCTGTTTTTTTTCTTCCAGGGAATAAAACAAGAAAAGGGATTTAAATGTATTAATGCGTACACTTCCACATCAGGGTGATGAAGGCCTCGTTACTTACATGGTCGTCTGAGGCGCTGAGGAGGTTGCCGCTAAGGTTGGGATTCCAGGAAAGACCATAGCCTTCTTTCTGGTGGCCTTTCAGCCTCAGATCAGGATGACACTCCCCACTGGGATCTGAAACAGCAAAACACAGACTTTGCTTTCACTGCCCTGGATGTTCTCACAGTTAGACATGCGTGTATAAGCACAACGGGGATCCCACCTGGCTTTGAAGGGTGCTTGGTGTAGTCAAAGACCAGAACATCAGAGGTGGGGGTCTTGGTGGCGATGATGCAGGGATTCTGGGGCATATAGCGGGCTCGGTTCACCTCTCCCTCATGGTTGATCTTGATCTCTATCTCGATTTTCCCGCTCACTGATCCAAAGCCTCCAAACTCTGACAAAAGAATACATGGAGACTGTAAATCATCCACGACGAGAGAGAAGGACTGACGCATTAAAACTGCAGTTTAAATCACTTCCCACTGGTCAGCAGGGATTCAGGAATAATCATGGCTGATATATTATAGTATTGAACACAGAATAAAAATGATTTTCACTTTTGTGTTAATGTAGCGAGATTTGTTATAAAGACCAAAAGAGAACGCCTCAAAATAACATTCAGAACACTTGGACCCTCTAGAATGACGTGTGTGATGGATCAGCGTTGTGTGTGTGTGTTGAGGTTAAGACATGGACTGTACCTTGAGATTGCTCTGTGGCCGCACTAACATACAAACACTACCTGTGACAATGTAATAAAAGAGTAGTGATCCTTCAGTACACCTTGACACAGCCCATCAACATACCTGCTGGAAGAGAGAATAACACAGTGTCAGCATGACTCAGATCTTCTTTCATTTATTCCAACAATATAAAACACGACTCATCAATGAATAACCCATTGCACACCAAGTTTTTTTTTTTTCTTCGTCCGACATTAAAAAAGAAACACGATCTCATGGTATGTCGATCATGTTTGCACACTGACTCCAAAACGTTTGATCATCATTATT